TCAACAGACTAGATCTTCTGTCATAGACTGACTGAATCAAAAACATAATTGTCGTAACCGTACAATTGCAACCCGATATTAGATTGGGCTATCTAATGCCTGCCTATTTCTATAAAATTCGAGCGGGCTGTGAAGATAGTTACAACAGGGCTACCAGATTGCTGGAACATTTCAGTGAGAATATGAGATGACTGCAAAAGTGCAAAGAGACAGATGAAGCATTGTAACCGTCGCGGTATCGAGAGATGAGGTTACTGCGGTACGCCAATAGAAAAGTGGAAGTAACAGGATTAATACAGCGGGGTACTTAATCAGTGCAATAGAGCGATAGGATAACTTGAAAGTAAAGAGGGTTTCTGAAATGATGTAATGCGTCTGTTCAACCAACGAACGATAATTATCGTACCTGGATAGCAGTTATGCCACACCACAGGGCCTGACGTAATCAAGCTTCAGTGTATGCTAAAGTTTGCTTAACGCTAATCAAATTCATTCACTTTGGAATAACTGCAAAAGGGGGTAATTAGTTAGATATAGCAGAAATAACTACAGAGGGATAACCGTTTGTGCATATTTGAGGTGTAGTTTCCGTTGAAAGAAATGTGAAATTGGTAGGTTAGGTTCAACTAATGATAAAGTTTTCAATTCAAACGCTGAGGCTTTAACTTTCTATTCTAGATCGCTTTCGCCATATTGAGCAATCTTCGACAATGGATGGAGGCCATCATAAGGTGGACCACGCGCGAAATTTTGCCGAGTGGTTGGACACCTTTTTGAAGGGGCGTTTTGGGCGAACTTGGGCAAGGTGGAGCCTTTTGGGCAATAACTAGTGACAGAATCTGAGAATGCCCGAGAAATTTGTAGTTGAAAATCATCTGTTTTTCCAACTCTATACTTTGGGAATTCCATGAGATTTTGTAGAATATTTTTGTTTTCTCGATTTTTAAAGTATTGGCGGGTAAGACGATAATTTCAGCATAAATAGTTGACAGTTGATTAAATGGATTGACGTAGACATAAGGGAGTATATGAACATGTTTTTAATGTGCGATGATTGCTGCACTCGCGAGAGAAGACTCGAGAAGAAATTGTGTGAGCAATTGGTGCTTACGAAATTTGCTTGGCTTGACGAAATCTTACCTGTTTGTTTCCTACATTGATGCTACCAGTACCAGATGCACATATTTACATTTTTCGTTTTAATTTAAATGTATGCCTATATAGCTGGCTCAAAAGCCCTTATGTATCAAGTACGTTAGGTCAGAAATAGCAGCGACTAAAAGGTGATTAATGAAGATAACGTCGTTAATCAAAACAATCAAAAAAGCTAGACATTTTCTATATGCCGAATTTTCTCTAACTACAATTATCTGGGAAAGGATAAAAAAAGCTACGGAAGGCTATGAGTCTACAGAAATGTTACTTCGTCCACTACCAAGACGCAACAAACAACAGTTCTAATTTAAAATACCCTTTGCAGATTCGAGTGTCAGATTGTCACAATATGGACTATTATACAACCTTCAAAAACTATAAGCTTATGAAGAACTAACCTATACATCGAGCATTTTTAACCAGAAAAAGTTGACCGAGAATACCCGCTGAAGACTTTGACGCGTCTCTCTCTTTAATACACATATACCAGGGTCACATATATCTTAGAAGACGAGGACTATCTTTTTATACTCGTTGGTATAATGAATAGTTAAGTAAAGAAATTCACCATGAAGCTTTATAACATCGACATTAAAAAGGATCATTTTCGTCATGTCTCAAATAAAGGACATCCAAACACCTTCGAGTCATTTGGCGTAACTACAAATTGTAATTTCTAAGCACAAACTAGTGTTACTGTACCACCGTGCAAAAAACGGTACAAGCACTCTAACGTTTGTCGAAGCAGAAGCTAATTTAGACGAGACTCCTGCAAACTTACTGATACGTGTACAATATATAATACTGGAATCCATAAAAAAAAAGGTGGCTTATGAAAGATGGGATTTCTCTTGGGAATAAAGATTTAATGTTGCAGCGATAGTTCCGTAAGTTGTGGCTACTCCTTCTAGTTTCGAATTGCTGGCTTACATGCGTTATATACGCCTTGAAAGTTTCCTTATTACTTAATACGACTGTTCGGAACACGAAAGTTTGCTTTAACTTCACGTGTCCATATGAGCTAGCGAAAACAGCGCTTTTATCACCTCTCACTTGCCCTTCGCAAAGGCCAGAAGATGCCGAAATGGGTTAAAATAGGCTAGAAGATTCGATAGGTGAGAGCATTACTCAAAAGTGGCCTGATGGGTGTTTTCTATCTAAAGAACATATCCCACTTAACTTTGCAAGTTCTTTCCAATTTGTTTGAACAGCTTTTCAGTAAAGATAGATGTTTGCTGAACTTACATCGGTTAGCTCTAGAACGTTCAGTACAAAACAATTTTTCTGTATTGCTTTCTATTTAGCATAAGCAAACGGTTGATGTCTAATTAACTTCCTATTCACCTGATCTAAACATCTTCAAAGTTCAAACTCCTGGTATAGAGATACATTAAGCGACAGGAGGAAAACAGAGAGAAACGATGTTACTAGAGAGGAGACCGGAAATTGCGTGTACCTAGGATAGTCGTTAACAACGTAACACGTGCATTGCACATAAGTTTGACATGTGGTACGAGGCAACAAGACACCGGAGTCGGCATCCGAGGCGCCTATATATATATATATATATATATATATATATAATAAAGGCCTTTTCAGTCGAAGCGATGATTTGTGTTATTTTTAACAAGACTTACAGAACAGGGGTAAAATTTTGTAATTTGAGTGCAACGATTCATTATTATATATTAGACAGTACTATATAATATGTTAACCGGCACAATGATAGACGGTTATGCTCTAGACATTAACCATTGTCCTCAATGCCCGGTTATTTTTCACGCATGTCATGATCCCAATCAATTAACGACGCGTCATGTTTAGGCATGCACCATCGTGAAATTATTTTTTAGTTAGTTTTTAGTTACGGCTTCACCGTAGCTCCAGCGGAAACAAATCACATGGGCTAATGTCAGCAGACAACACTGTCATTTGCTAGCAATTCTTTACATCAAGGATAGAGGTGTGCTAGAAATCAGTGGTACAGCCACAACGCGTTTGTAAAACCTAAAATCTCAGGCCAGGTGCGGGCCACGTAATTCATGATGTGTGAAGAGCGTTATACGTGCACCACGTAATGGTCAAGAAGGAAGTCAAGTCACAGACCATACCATTTACAGGGCAACGCTGAAAGATAGAGGTTGAACTTGCCTTCTATCAGCAAAACTGTCAAGTATGCTAGTGTGCCAAGGATCAATGACAACGAATAACAGCCAGGGATGATATTCTGCTTAAAACAAAACAAAGAAAAACTAATAGAATTCTGTTTGCTGAAAAAAACTACGAATTTACTGATATCCACTAATGCATTTTACCCTTTATCGAAAATATTGATATAGGAACAAATAGCGGTAAGTATAAAGAAGGCTAATTTATCTAAGCGGCAACATACGAACGACAAGCGCGATCATACTGAACCTTTGAATAATGCAATACCGTTTTCGATAAGTTGCAGAAAACCCGAAATCTAGGTTATACTACCGATCGGTCTAGGTTATGTGTTTTCCCAAAAATATGATTCCCAAGAATTTAAGTTTTGCACTAATCTTGAACACAAATCAACTCGCTTCCAACGTGCAGTGTAATTAAGGAAATCCAACTTCCGAGACGTTACAGTAACGTATAGAACAAAAATTCTCCTCGTCGCATGCAGTTACCAATAAAACGTACTTGATATCCCTGCCTCGAAGCAATATGGATAACGTCTGTCTCTGCTTCGGCGCTCTCAAGCCACTTTTGTTTTCCTTTAAATGCGTCGCTAGTGTTGTAAGCTCACTTCTTCTGATCAAGCGGTACTATTCGCGCCAAAACTCGTCCTTCGACATGGTGCATATAAGCTCGCCGTATAGATGTTCCTTTGAACCACAACCTCGATGTAAGAAACGAAAATTCCATTTATGTCTACAATGAGTAGTTAGGTGGCGCATTGATTAGAGATAACAACTGTAGTAATCACTCACTTTAAGGCTTCTTTCGTTGGGTATTGATGGTTCACAGTATTAACTGGAGCAAACTTATTTTGACGGATATGGTTAAATATGGCATATAAGTTAACTTGTTTTACTACGATTGCTGGACACATACTCTATATATAAAGCGGTTCCATATAAAATGTAACTTTTTACTTTAGTTACACATGTTTTCGAAGTGTCCATAGTACCCCTTCACAATCGGTCAAATTCGCTAGGAACATAAACATTAACATTGGGCTGGAATATGATTGTCTATCTCTATAAAATTTCATGCATTTCATATGGACTTCTGCACGGGAACTGGACATGCTCACATCTGATCTGTAAGTAACTTCGACTGTGCTTACGAATTTGTGCAATGACCCGTCACAGCTGGTGAGATAGTACGAAGAACCTGGGCTCATGTAGGCTACATAGAACACGTAACCTCTAAGTTCCGTGTGAAAACTCACGTGGAAAGTTATCGTGTGGCTATTGTTATAGAATAGATGTAGCGGAATGAAAAGCCTCCGGTCAGATTGACTCACAAGTCAACTAGGTCACAAGCAATTAGTTTCCATTAATGTACTTCACATGCTTCCTCAAGAGCTGGATGCACCTCTGCAATCGACATCCTAATGTACTTGCATTCTAAGAATAATGTGTCCGAGGCTAAAATATATTGAATACTAGAAAAAGAAAATATATAGTTTCGTTGTCATCGACGAATAGTCACGATTTCTGTTTGACACGCTTCAACGTTCAATTCGGTTTGAGAAAAAACGGAGCGGAGAGTCTGTTCCCAATCAGAAAATCTAATTTTAGATAAAGTTTTAGAAATGAATATGCGTGTCTATCATTAATTTTCGATATCAACTCTCAGTTTTGCTTTCGTGCATTTTAATTTCCATGCAAAATTAAAACTAACTGATACTTCCTGCCTGCCTGCCTGCTAGAGATATTTCGTTTATGTCTCAATATACATTTACAACCGTTCCCGATCGCGCCAGACATTCCATTCTCGATAAGGTTTACACGAATGCGCTCGTAAAATCGCTGACCAGAACAATTCTGTATAACCCAAAACCGGTAAGACTTAATTTGGTTCTTAATTAAATCGCATTTACTTAAGAAAATATTTAATAAGGACATGAATATTGTTTTCCTCCGTTGTCTTTAGCGGTCTATCCTTAACCGCTCATGACTTCTAGCCGTACCGCTCAACTGCCTAACACTTATTTGCTAATGTGACATCTGGTCGATTTATTTAGGAAATTAAACAGAGCCATGTTCGCCACTTGTCGTCATCAGGTTAGTGCATAAAAATTCTGGCCTACCACTTTTTCGTGTAGCTTATCTTAATGCTGCTATTGGAAGAGAATCTAACGTTGTTATTTTTAAAATCCAGCCTACAGACACAGCAGAAGACCACTAAGGGGCTTAATTCCTGTATCTTTTATATATAATAACATAGCAGGTTGTGTAACGTTTACACGGATGCACTCCTTATACTTTCAGTAGGCAAGTGCAGATTACTTCCCTTTGATTGCATTCTCTTTAAATGATCAATTCACTGTTCAATTTAATCCCTCCTTTGTACCATCCAGAATACCTCGTTCAAGTTCTGTTGGTTTGTTTCTAGTTCGGATAGGAACACTTCGATATATTTTGATTTGCTTGAAGCTCTTTTTCTATAAACGTATTTTTGCAAGCAAGTTCTCACTACCTTTCGACCACCAGCGCCGCTCGTCAGATTACATTGGCGTAGCGATTGTAAATCCAATTTGACTAAATTTCTCATGATTTAGTCTTGTGGCTACTGTCTTAAGATAGAGGAGAATAAGGCGATTTATTGGCTTACAGTGATTCCGTAACTTTGACTCTGGATTCTCATTTGGCAGCAAATCGTGAATACGATGCTATGTCGATCTAAGTAGCGCTCACCTGGTTAGAATCGAGTTTTTGCATAGATGTGTAGGACCACCCCGCTGTATATCTGGGTGCGGCGACTAGGAGAACTTCTATCAAAACAACGGACACACGAAAAGGCATTAAAAGAGTAAGCCGAAAATTGTATATCATTAAATAACATATCGAACTGGCAAGAATAACCCTGTTAACCACAAATCAGACGTAAAGTGACAAATTTCACATCTTTCTTGCATGATACCATTTGGGATGCGTTTGTCAAACACTGCTGGTTCTTACGATGAAGACGTTCAGTTTTGGTCTGCTATCGATATTACGGTATGTGGTTTCACCATTGTTTTACCAAAAGGCTTGTTGTGGTCGTAGATTCGTTAAAGACCGCAGTAAAATTATGCATTGAGTCTGATCTAACATCCCGAAATCTGTTAGAAAAATGTTAGAGAGTAGTACCAATTATAGTCCTCTACAAAGATCTTGGGAAAAATATCTGCTTTTTAACTCACCCTATAGTACGCACGTGAAGCTCGTACAAAGATCAGTTGAACATACATATAACGCCTCAACTGTAATCAATATACAAAGAGAAAAAGATCTCTTAGATCTGGATGTAACGAGATTGGAATTTGCGTTTATATGGGTAGACAGTACGAATTATTGTAAAATTACAATATAATTAAAATAATTGAGTTGACCGAGACAATAAAACTTTGAAAGCACTTAGAAGAGCTTTTGGAAGTTGTAAATTAGTTAGAAATTGTAGCTTAAGGAAACCGTTTCTCCTTTTTCAGTATGAGAGTGTTTATAATCTGCTGTGAGAAGAGCGTCCAACCCAAAAGGGCTAGGCGATCAGGCGGTTGGACTAAACAAACGGAGTATTTTAATCTAGTCAACTAGTGGGCGTAAACGGTTAGCTCCATCTCAAGAGATGCTTTTAGCAAATCAGTTAGCCCGACCGACGGTGAAAAGCTGCCAGCAGCATGTTCAGGCAGGGCTCTCGCTGCAACCAAAACATTATAATTTCCATCTTTCGGAACCAATGAATGAGTGATCATGATATATATCCCCAAGTGTCCGTGAAAAGATGTAAACATCCCCTTACTTTCCTTGTAATGTAGTATTCAAAAAGAAAAATTGTCCGAACAAGTCGAATACGAAATATTCAGGACTAGCTCTTGTGAACGACGTTATTATTTGAGCTTTTGGAACCTCAAATTCATCAGTTGGGTCTTCTCAAAAATAGAGGTGCGCTCGGATTTCACCTTGACAAAGAGTTTGTTCATCCTGCCGTGCTAGAAAAAGAGCACTGTTTAAATCGTCGAAAGCCTCTTGCCAGAGAACGCCATTTTTAAACGAAAGTTAGTATAATTACTTATTACACCTATAGCGGCTGCAAAATAGTTTACTTGGATTACATTAGAACATGCCCAAAAAATAAATAGTCACGATCTTTCCAATCAATTTCTCTTTCGTAATTGGTAAACCTTTGTCGCTTGTAGGTCAGATTAAAGTTATTTTTGTATAGGGATAAGTAGTGGCGAACAGGGCTTAAGTTCCAACGTTATATATTTCTTAAAACGATTATATTGGAGATTCTCATGTGGGTGCTATTGGTCTGCCTTTCATATCATTGTTGCTTAAAAAACTAAATGCTTGCACCGTTTCCCAACTGTACAAAGTAGATCCTAAAAATGTTTTTTTTTTTTTGAGTTCAGCAATAATATTCTTTACAGTAAATGTACCCTAGTGCTTAAAATCATTGCACAGAACAAAATTCCAAACCATAGTTATAGAGGCGGTATTATGAGCGCGGTACGTCTGCATCCCATATCAACCAATATATGCTACAAGCTGCCTTTTTCATATTCCCGCCACTCTGTTTGTGTAAATAAATATGGCACTCTATTTAGCTTTGATTGTTAGAGTTTTTCTTTGACTGTGCTCACGGTGAATCAAAAGTTTTATTTGGTAACTGGTAGAATCTCTACAGTTCCGTAATTGTTTATTTGAGTAGTTTAGGAAGATTTTTTAAAATGATATCCGTTTTTGATTCCCTTTGAAATAATTCACCTTCAGTTCTGACAGGACGCCTTGTAACCTTGTTGATATAGTTACTAATCGTTGTTAACTAGAGAGGAAAAGCTATTCATATCTCCGTTACTTTAGTTTTCACCGTGAGTACAACGCGATTGTTATAGATTTTTGCTGCAGGCCGTTTGAGACCCACGGGGAATCTATTATGGTCCGATTGGCCTATCGCCGCCAATATTTTTTCTAAGTGCACAGTCTCTTGAACTTCGTTGAAATTGACAGTTGGTTTCTTCGCCTTGGTTGGCTGTTGAAGCATAGCTTTACTTGGAGCTACATCGTACCGCCTTTCCTTCTTTGGCTCCAGCCTGGCTTCACACAGAAGTTACAGATTTGGAACTGACCAAAACGAAGGCGATGAAGCTTGGAAGGGGAAGCAGAATAATGGCCGCTAACACCCTGTACCTTGCCAGGTCGCCCTCTGTCTACGTTAACTGGATTCCGTATTTAGGGGTTGTCCTTCTCCGCAAATAGCAGAAGTTCCATTACGCACGTCGCCGAAAGATGCTGGAAAACAGTGTTAGCCGCACGATCAATCTAGTCGTCTCGCCGCTTGTCCTACGCAGCCGCTCTCAATTTGTCCAACTTCAACGTAGCTTCGACCATTCGGAAGATCATTCGGAAGGATCTTACAGCAAGGAACCTTGAAAAAATAAAGCGTCTTTCTCCTAAACAACACTTGTAGTAGATAACCGCCCCGTGTATTTTTTAGTCGATTCGTTATTGCTTGTAGAGAACCTATGCCCTCATTTTGGGGTCCCAGCAAGTGAGGCCTTGGAGACCAAGCTTAGGAACTGGAAGCGAAAATTGGTGGGGTTTTTGTGCTTCGGATGCGATGAGGAACAAGACGTGGAAAGGGACGAATCGGCCAAACAGACATGTTGTCGCTTGCCTTATCGTGCATGGGCCTCATCGTAGATTCGGCGAAGAACTGGAGTTCCTATAAGCCTGACGTTACATGTAAGTTATCCAGATAAGGAGGAGATTGCAATAGATATTATACGATAAATTTTAATCAGTTTCATAAACTCAACAATCCTCGTATAACACACACAAATAATTTTAAATGGTCTTATATACTCACTTTGATCTCGGAACATTGTAGTGTTGATTATTATATATAAAGTTTTTTGACTACTATTAGAAAAGTTGAACAGGTAATATTTGACATAATAAAATCTCCCTAAAGGGAGATACCTCACCAACCATTAAAATAGTCGAACAAAATGAAATCGTTATATAAAAAATTACTGCTGGCTTCGGTGGGTCTCAGTTCAATAATTGTACGATTGGCGCGCCTGTGGGCGAAGGAGACACTCTCTCTCAACATGAACGGTTAGGCACTTCGTTAAAGCGCCCCGAAAAGGCGGTAGGTCTGGCGTCTAAATGCAATTTTGTCAGTTGTTCTCTGACCACCGCCAAAGCTACATTAAACAAGCTGACCTAAAGCAGCACGCACTTAGCAAGAAACTGAGGGTATAACCTCTATGGGTGACTTGTAGTTCGTATTGTTGTGTGCTTACGCGCGAATCAAATATTAAAATTGGAGATCACTGCTGCAATGGCGCTGCGAAAGGCGAACAGCTTCCGTATTATCAATTTGCAATTCGCAAAAGGAAATTGAACTTACACCTATTACATGCTGATTTGGGCCTAGAAACTGTGACCAGGCCAAATAACAAACAATGCTCTTATTCGTGTGCGATTGGGTAACAGTTTTCAAAAGCAGCGCATAGCCCCCTTTCATGTATGGATATTGCTGATACTAATAATGATACTTATGCGAATGTTCAAAGAAACTTCAACATCCTCAAGATGTTTCGAAAATATTCTCCGTGAGGTTCCACGAGGATATCAGTTACAGTTATTTCTTGAATACAATTGGTAACAGCGAACAATTACGACAAAAGCCAGGTGAAAATTGATGTTGTATAATGACATCACTGAAAGGATGGACAGTGCTAAATATATAAGACGGTACCATACTAAGTGGCATTGGCCTGTATATATTTAGTTAACATTTATCCAACCAAAAAAGAATGTAAATTGGTTGGTTGAATTGGTAAAGAAATTTCGAGATAAAACTTAGTTTCCTGTCAAAACTTTTCAGCGCTTTCAATACTAACTATAGTGTAAAAAGTATATACAGATCTATGGGGACCTGGCTAGAACAATTTAATCGCAACTCGAAGCAGACGAAAGATGCAAAGTTTTCCTGAAATGCCGCAAAATTGTTTGCGTGACGAAAACTTGAGCAAATTTGCTTACGCACTTTATGTTGTCTTGGCCACACACAGTTCCACCTATAACAGCACGGTGCAGATTGACTCGCACGTTAGAGATCAATGCTCACAGTTTCTGTGTTAGTTATGATCCTAACTGAACAGCATTAGGCCCTTCCTAGATACACCGCTTGCAAATCGCTGTCCCGTCCAAAGAGCTTGTAAAGGTTGTCAAGCAACATCTTCATGTCGGAAATGCTATCATGTAACAAGTTTCTGTAACCATAACAATATTGAAATTGTAAAGAAGGGTGTAACTAGGGGGTAAACATTTAAAACATTCTTATCACTCGATGAGAGCCTGGTGTCTGATTACGTAGTGAGTCTGTTCGAACCTGTCTGGGGTCAGAGCTGCTGTTTCGAAGAGTAGGATGCTGCATAGTAGAAGTCACAAGGCCAAAAGGCTCGGTCGTAGTGAAAGTCACCCTGTAACTGAGTGGGTCCCTCTGGCGTAGTCGTTGTTGGTGGTCCATGACCTGGCGGAAGAACGGGGATCGAAAGCAACTTTTTTTTTGTACTCTCGAACATGCCGATGAAACAAATAGTATTTTTTTTTGTGTTGCACGCAAGACGTGAAAATGAGTTTACAATTTTAGCTTCAAATTAAATTTGCCCTCTTTTCAAGCTCATAATTAATGACGTGAATGTTCTTACACGATTTCACTTCTATGAGGAATTATTCACGGAATCGTTGAATCTGTTTTCTAAACTGGCGCCTGAGATGATCTGCCTGGAGCAGTACTTTGTGACGCCCAAGATATAAAGACTCTCAAATGAGCGTTTTTGTTTCGGCAGGTAGAAGCGAAATTTTCAATCCACAAATCCTTAATGGAATATTGATTTTTATGAGAAGGTATGATGTCAAATTTACAGTTTGATTTCGATGTTCGTTGTCGATTATGAGTGATCATAGACTAATTTTAACGCGTTGGAGAGGTGCCAGTAACATTTGGTCAGCAGAATAAGTCCTTGGTCAAAAGAGACCACTTTGTGCGAATACGAAAATGCTCTGTAGAATTTGTCTCTCAACGAAACTGACCGCCTTGTCATAAACTTTCTGGAATGGTGTCTGCCCATGTATAACTACCGGTGCCATCAAGGATTCTATTTGCGGCAACTTCATCGTCAGTATCCTTATCAGGAACCGAGATCGACGGAAAGGTGAGGGCAATGGAGCAACTAAGATGGAAAACTGTAGTAGAATGTGTCATAGTGAGAGATTAGAAGTCTTTAACCTCAGTAATTTTTGTCATCATTGAATCAAAAAAGTGCTCTGATCTCGGTATCTCAGGCGGTATCACTACCCTTTATCTACAAAGATCATTCCTGCAAAAGGGAACAGACACCTTTCTGCAACTATTACGCTTCTAAGTTATCTCCGTTCAAGATAAATTGTTTTACAGATCGCCCGACCAGTTTTTTAGACTAATCCAAACAGTCATACATGCCTCTACCAGATTGGGCAATCTTGTCAATCTCAAGACTTAATCCCTGGATTTTCTTAGGGAACCTTAGTGGAACACTAGTAATGTTCTTCCTGTAGAAGTCGGTCGAAGATCGTGAACGAACCATCGTGGTTAGGTCTGTGCGTTCTCTGAGCGAGAAGGTCTTTTTGGTTAATTTTATTACGTTCAAGTCGCAAAGGCTTCCTTTGAAATTTTAAAAGGTAATAACACATAGCCCTCAGCCATTCTTGAATAGAATTTATGACGTCCTTATGACAGCTCGGACCACTTGCATCTGCATTACAGACCAGAACGACTTTAGTACGTATAATTGTCCCCGTTGGCCGCTCGTAGGTGGACATCGACATATAATACACCCAATTCGAAATAAAAGCAACCACTGAAACTGCTCTTTAATATATTAAACTATAAAATATAAAAAGTACTAGGCCCAAAAATATAAAAGAACATACGTATAAAGGAATTAACCGCTATGGTAATCGATTTTTTCTTTATAATTCGTTTTTTTTTTTGCAAAAATCTTTTCTATGAGAGTGTTGTAGTTCATTTTTTCAAGATTTACGGGTAAAACAGCCATTTTTGACGACATCTTTGAAACTTTATGTTGTACAACTAACCTAGGTACATTGTTCACATCCTTTTTTATGTAAATTTTTGAGTGCAGTCGTTTTTTCAATTGTGGTTTCGGGCCTACAAAAGCCACTATTGAAAAATTACAGAAGGGACACAGTTTAAGATTTTGGAAGGAATTTTCGATTTTCAATAGTTTTAGGTAAAATAATGATTTTTACTGAAATGATTGGAAATTAATAAAGTATGAACTCTATCGATGTATTATTAATATCTTTTAGTCGAGTGAATATCCTTCCAAGGCTAATCTCCTTTTCCCGTAGAGCATCATTTTAGTTTGGTTAACTCAAGATTTGATAATAAAATAACTTTTTTGGGGAAATGGTTCATCCTTGAATGCATGTATCGCTGGAGAGATTACGGAACTGATTTACGGAAACGATAGAAAAGGAGAAAAGTGTGACGTTTATCACAAAAGCGACTCAAGGTGAGAGCTAATGTGTCGAAGAAAATATCGATCACTCGGCTCTGTACGTTTCTACCTGCACAAGTGTCTTAATCTTTCGTACTCCTAACGATCTGTTTCGAAATAATCTTCAGGTATAGATACCACGGTTTTCTTTCGTCCTCGAGCTACCAAGCAGGCTCAGACAAGAGAGTGACTACTGCTCTGAGAATGTAAGTGATTGAGTTTAGGTAAGGGCTAAGACCCGTGTCACGTCTTCTACCAGAGGTTAACATTACATGTTCAGGTAGAACTAAATGTTAATACTGTTTGTTGGTAGGATCAGTTATCTCTTCGGAGAGCAGTGTAGATGCACTTAAGTAATGGACTGATGACAAAAAAGGGGGTAATTGAAACAATATAAACAGCAAGACTACTAGAATGCTTCAATAGAAGAACCGTAATAGAGCTTAGGTCATGTTAGCTGCGACCAATTGATCGAGTAGAATAACGGAATAAATGCACCTATTAAAGCAAGGCGGATTGATCGAAGCAGAAAAATAGATTTACTGTAACAGAACTAGTCTTGAGAATACTGGGAAAATTACAACAATGCGAGGTACAGTAACAATGGTCTGCGACGGCATTAGACATCAATATAACCTTATTGCGTCGAAAGAGGCATATTATTAATACATTTATATTATTCCATCAGTATAAACAATGGTAGCATTAAGGGTAGCACTGTATTTGGGTTTATCTACGATGCAGTTCACGAACGATGCCTTATGAGCACATTTAGCTTTTCAGTTCGGGACACTTCTAACATCGTAAAAACATGTTATGTCAGATTTAAACAAAATA